ATATTTGGGCAGGGAAACAGACTATGTTCAACAAGGCGACCCCCAAAATGGACAGAGCGCATGCATGTAGCACTAGAGGGGTTACTGGTATTGATGTGCTCATGCTGGCCGCGCGCACACAGGACTTGTCACTTGACACTTCTTGGCAACCACGGTGAAGGAAACTGATACCGAAGCAGCATTTTTTTAAAATGCCGACTTGCACAAAGGAACTTTTGTAGTCTTGTGGAAAAGGGACTGAGAAAAACACGCCGACTTATACGAAATGACAACTTATAAATGCCAACTTAGAAATGAAATTTTCAATGGAATACATTACAGACGATCGAGACTTTTGTCAAAAGGTTGATGTGACGAGTTACGCGATGCTAACTTAGTCGGAGTTTACTGTATTTTATATTGCACGTTTCTCTGACTTGTATTTTGATCAGTTTTTAGAGTAATGTATGTGATTTCTTTGGGACACATTCCAATCTCAATATGTCTCTTTCTCTGCAGAAACAACCCAACGGAATATGAAAAGAGAATTAAAGCCCAGGCTGATCGTTTTCAACCAAAATGAGTTTGTCTTCACCTTTTTGAAATCTGACCCAAGTCTTCACTCATCAAGGTTTTTTGTTTTTGTTATTTGAGTTCATCAGTCTCGGCCCGCTTACTGTTTTCGTGGCAATGTACATAACTATCACCTGAACATTCTATTAATGTTGGTTCAGCTGGTTTCATTCAAGGAGCTTCTTAAGTCTTGGAACCAGTCCAATCTACTGTACATTCTGTTGTTATCAAAGTGATCTGCCACGACCAATGATTGCATACAGTCATGTTAGACATCATCACATAGCAAGCCTTACATCCCTACATCTCCTCTAATGGGAGTACCACACATTTCTGTCTAGAATAGGTAATATACTGAAAAAGAACGTCCCAAGTTATGTGATACTCATTGAATTTCAGTGACTGAAAAGTGTCACCAGAAGCAGTGTTAATGTTGGGTTACTTTACAGGTTAATGTTTGTAGAATGGCAATCTTGCTGCATACTTCAGGCATGCATGTTGTGATTCTGCTAATCCTTGTTTCCCTTGTGCATGCATGCCATCGCAAACTAGAAAACACTGCACAAACTTGTGTGCAGCTCACAGTTCCTCTCACCTGATCCTTCATATGGCAATATTGGACGGTAACATCAGTAACTCCTCCCAAAACCTCCGTGCGGGCACTGCAGGGAACCAGTGGCCCATATTTTGTGCATTTCCAAGGGGGTACTGAGTTGGGGGTCAAGCAATATTGGTAGGGATCAACCTCGCCCAACTTGCAAAATCACTCCAATGAAACTTCCTGTGGACTGTAAAGGATTTAAGGGTTGTTTAATGGAAGAATGATTCGTTTGAAGTTAAGACAGGATGCCTGAATTGGTAAGTCTTGCTTGACTTCACAGGACTGCTTTTGTGTGTGTGTGAAAAAAAAGTTGTTTTGTGTAGAAACTGTTATTGTATTTATGCTTCTTTTATTTCAAGTCTAAAAAGTAAAAAACTCTTGATTTTCAGTGTAAATGTAAAACATTTCACAATCATCACAAAAGTGTATATGGGTCATTCCACGAAGTGCGGGCACAGTTTGTGATGGCGTCCCTTGTTACATCAGTGAAAATAAATATCTTTTGTCCTTGCATGTGTATTCTAAATTGACATTGTTCTAAATCTTGCTAGGTTCTTGTAGTGGTGTGCTTCATCTTTGCCGAATAAGAATGACTTAATCTGTTGTAATGTGAAAATAATGGGCAATAAAAGTTACCGATGTAACAAGGGACGCCAAAACAAACTGTGCCCGAACTTCACCGAATAACCCCCATGGATACTACTGAGTAATGTTAAATTTTAAAAACCGGAAGTAACACTAAAAGAGCACAGATATTTGGTAGAAATTATTGAAAAATAATTTGAGTTCTTTAAGACTTGTTTAACCAAGAAATAATTGAAACATTTAGCATTTTCATTGGGGCAGGGCCTCAATTTCAACACACGGCTTAACAGCAGAATACTGCTTACTGTAGTACAGAATTTTGTAAGCACTATTACATGGCGGGGTTTGGCGTGGTTGTGCCAACTATTGTGTGCACATATATATCCATTGTTTCATCACAAAGTTAAGAAAATCTTTCCTCTGATGTAATCATGCCATTTGTTGTGCTTACTGCAAAAATCTTGTGTTTAGCAGTGCCCTGAAAGTGGGTCCAAGTCTGAGGAAGCTTAGGGTTGCTTGTTTTTTGTATAGAGAAATTTTAGGAGTTTGTGTTGATTGTGTGTATGAGGACATGTCATAATTCCACAGCAAAATTCCATGGGGGGGGGGGAATCCCATGAAAGTTCATCCACAGGTACTTCGCACAAACTTTGCCTCTCTGTTTACAATGTCTAAGCTACAAAGTTACCTAACATAAATTATCAAATGTTTAATCAAATGTTATCACTGCACTGTGTGCTGAAAATGACAGGTACTCCACCTACTTTTTTTTCTGAGCACCCTTATTTGGTAAGGAGTGAGCCATCTTTATTTTCCACATATATATTTATCCACACATCTCCAGTCCCCAGGGCATCCGTACTTACAAAACAATTTCAAGGCCTTGTCCCAGTCATGACAAAAATGTCCTTCTAGATGAAAGTCCAAAGGTTTGTCTTCTACATGAATATCTAACTCTTTTTTGTAAAAGTAACATTGTATTATTGATAAATACCTCTGTTAAAAGAACAGAAAATGGGAGACCTTCACTGTAAACATTGTCTGTGATGTCGCAGTTTATAGGTTGTAACATTTATTTAAAGAGAATTTTGGCTAACTACATGTACATGTATAAATGTAGTTCAGTTCATAGCAGTTTACAGGACTGGAGTCTGTTCAAACTTTTTCCTTACAACTTTCAAAGATGTATCACAGCGTTCAACATTTTAGATGTTAGTTTCAAGCCAAGGAGAGAAAAACAACAACGCTCAGATTCTGTACAAATAATTTCTGTTCTTCATATGTAAGTGCTCATTTAAATTTTAGACAAAAGTGTGTAGATGTAGAGGGTAGGACTTTGTTTTTTTGAGAGAATTGTGTCATTTTTCAGTATTTTCTGTGTCTGCATTTTTTCTAACCTAACATTTCTTACTGTGTACAATAGCTGCTTTGCATCATGATTTAGACTACAATGAAATTTGAAAATACACATACCAAATTGTCTCCTTTGTTGAAACGGTTGCATTTTCCAAGTAGGTCATTGGATGAGTGTAGAATTTGTCAGCAGACCATATACCTAGCTTCTGTTTCTAGCTGAAATGGGCATTCTGTCCATCGTTTGAGCGGGGAAGAATTTTGCCATGCATAATAATATTGATTTTGAATAGAACCAATAACGTTCAAAGCTTCATAATGCCAAAACAGTTCCTGGCCACTGCCCAAACTTACCAGGTTAGGTTATGTCAGTTTGTGTGGTCACTTGTCTAGACCAGCTAATCAACTTGTTAGATCAGGTGGTCGAATGGCAGGCCAGGTTAACAGGGTCAGGTAAGCTGATGAGCATGCCACACAAGTAGGTCTGGTCAGGCCATTTAGTGTGGTCAGTAGGTCAGACAAGTTTGTCATGTCAACAGGTCAGATCACAGGTCTGGTTAATCAGCCAAGCAGGGTTGATCAGACCCTTGCTCTATGATCAGACCAGACATCAGGACATTCATACATCTACCCAATCGAGTCGCTGGAAACGAGCCGTTTTTGAAATTGAGAGCTGCCTTTTTGCCAAGTTGTAATCATCCCAGAAGCTTTTGGTGGCTAGCTGTGAGAGTCCACCTGAAGATCACTCCTAACAATTAGTGAATGCACATTCTCCCATTGCTCACGAGCTAAACGAATACATCAAATAATTGGAACCAATACATGTGAATTTGCTGAATTGTTTTTTACTGCGGGATATTTAATGTTAATCAGTGTGCGACCTAAAAATGTGTTCCATTTGTTAGTATCTTGCTTGTGTGTGTTCCTGAAAAATCTTGACTTCTAGAAGATTTTTTTCTTCCGAGTTGAACAACTTGTACCTTTTCACAGTGAACAAGTAGCAGTGTGGGTAAACCCCTCTCTTGTGCCTCCGACAATGTCTGGATTAATTTGCCCAAGCGTTGAACATTAAGAGTGTAAGCATATGAACATACATGTATAATACTCAACAAGCATCAAAGGACTCTCTGTTGACGTATTGCAGAGAAGTGTTGTAACCAGGTACATGTAGTTATAACTGGCCACACACGGGAACATTCAGTATTTTGAATATGCGGTAGTGATGAAGATATGGTTGCTTTTGTCCAACTTCTGGATTTTGATCAGAAAGTTGTCTCCAGTTTGTAAATATGGTACGTGTTACAGTTACATGGTCACGATGTAGTGGTACCACTGAAACACATGCTGATCTCTTATCTACAGTAAGGTATAATTTGGTTGAAATGTGTATAATTAACAGAAATGTGGTTAATCTCGTTTAGGGTAGAGATGTTAGTTTTAAATGTTCGATTTGTCTGTATAGAAGCCAGATTATTCAACTTTTGTTAGAAGTTTAAACACGGTTAGCATTTTGTTGTGCTCATTAATTCGGACATTTGTAAGATGTAAAAACAATGGTTCAAAGTTCAAACCCGTTTTGGAATCAAAATGAATAAACACCTCAGTTTATTTCTAAGAGGATGACAGTTTTATGAGCATTTATTTTGCTGCTACACTTTTTATGTTATATCACAGAAAGTAAGTCGGCCTTTTCATGTGACCGAAAAATAATTGAATGAATTTTAATAACTTTCTGCAGAGAAATCTTTCTTAGTTCACGTTTTGTATTTAAATTAAAAAAACCCTATCTTTTACTGGACTATAATATAAGCCTGCTAACAAAAGGTGTAAAAAGCAAGGAATTTCGTCTTCGTAGGGTCGGCCAAGGGTGCCTCCCCACCGTTTAAAGCCTTAGCACTGTCGTTTTGTCACCTTCTTTGACGCCTCGAAAAATAATTTAAAATAATTTGATGCAATAAAAGAGAGATGGCATCCACTGAGGTAAGTGATTTAGTGTAATTCATTGGGTCTGCCTGTCCATAACAATCTAATAGGCCTGGCCCCTCCTGCGGGAAGATTCCTGGATCAGCCCCCCCAACCCTCACTTCCGAAACTGTCGGGCAGATTCCAGCAAAGCGAGTACATGTATTACAGGTACCAGAGGTTAAGCGTGCTCACTCTGGGGCACGCCCCCAGCGGCTTATCCCAAAGGGGAGCATACCCCCGCTTTTTTGCTGTGCCCAATTCCTCCTTTTGCTACGGTTATTTTATAGCTTAAACGGCGATTTTTTGTACAGGTGTTTTACTGCATTAACTCAACAGTAACTAGCTGTTCTTTCCAATCGTTTTATCCACAGCCACAAGTTTCTTTTCTTTTCGATTTCATCCTACATCGTAATGTATGCAATGGCATTGGCGTAAATCCCTGGGGGTGGACTATTAAATCATCATTTTCATGGTGAGAAAAAATATAAGGTGGATTGTGAAGAATTTTTCGGGACGTCCCAACAACCAACATGTATTCAATAGCACTAAAAACAGGGAAAACAATTTTTAAAAGCCAAAAAAGCTGATATCAACTTTTGCAGGAAAGTAATAAGTTGTTACAAAATAAATGTACATCTGTATAAAAAACATCGCCCTCACATAGTGTCATTGTCAGCACCCTCCCCCCGTTCAAAATTCCAGGGCCAGACAAGTCATCTCTTACAACCCCCCCCGGAACGGACGTACAGCTAGGCTTGATTCGTTGGCGGATGGATTCTCTGTTGATAACTTTACACTGATTTGTGACGGGGGCAAGGTCATGGGTCGGTGGACCAACGGTAGCCCCATTCTGTTGCCAAGGTACTTCGATACTCGGTATCCTTGGCTGAATAGTATTCGGTGAATGCAAATCTTTTGGACAATGGATGCTGTAGAGTCCGTGGCCTCAGAATTATTGTGACGGGTTGCTCAGTCAGTGGGGTCAGGGAGGAGTCGCATTAAGTAGCAAAACTACTGGTTGACCGAGCCGAAACCTTTCTTTCAAGGGGCACTGCCAAAAAAAAAAAAAAACAAGAGGAACTGTGGCTTTTACATTTCAAAGTACATGTACATGTATGTGTGCACAAAATTTCAGTGGAGGACACCCAATTATTAAGAGACATGGACTTCGACGCTGGTGTGGGGGTGGGGGCGTCGGGCCCCTTGTACCCCCATAATTACTAATTCCCTGTTCAACAGAGACGCGCACTTTTAGAGAAGCTGCAAAGGGGTGCATAATCCAGACAATGCCTACGCTACAAGCCTTGATGACTGCACGACTGACGTCGGCTCGACCGGTATGCCGCGCCGTCGTTCCCGTGGCACGAAATCCGATCATTTGCTCTATTAAATTCGACGTTGAGTCACTACGTGTAGTCAACAAAAAGTGATCAAAGTCTGGTGGTATCCTCATTCCAAATGTTGGAATCTCTAGTTTAGGGGTCATACAAAAAAGTAAAGTCTGCAAATCCCACTCGCACCAACGTTTTGAGCATTTCTTCCCCAGATCAGTCATATCAGGCCGGGGATTCGAACAACACTGTAGGTGATCAATGCAACATCTGTGTGAACCTTCAAGAAGGCAGTCAGGCCTTTTTTTCATTGATGGGTCGGTTTAACTTAGCGTCAGTCCACCAACGCGAGGCACAAACCGTCGTTGTTAGTGTGATGGGTCCTCTGGATGCTTTGTCGACAATATTATACAGATAGCTGGAGATGCAGACGTTTAACGCAACTGCCGCAAAAGCCCGTGCTAGTTATGACCTTTTGTGTACAGTACACGCATCATATTTTTTCTGTACGGTTTATCTTGACAAGATATTTCCCCATTTTTGTGTCATTTAGTTTTTATGAAAAATGTATTTACGTTTTCAATTATTTAACTTGCCTTTCAGCACCTGTTCTCATATTTGTTTTTTTTTCAAATCAAACGCAGGTAGAACAGTACTAGCGCAGGGGATGGTCTTATGAAAAACGATGATCTCAAATCCTGATCGACACACCTTAGCGATTTTTTACACAAAAGTCAAAAATTTCGAGGCCGCCAAAACGGCCCAACTAGTTTCCATAACGCCATCACACGGTGCAGTGATGTGTAATGTTGGCACGATTGGTCGATCTGCGCGGGCGGTCGATCTTCGGATTTGCCCGAAAAGGAATAAATAGTCGGAGATCAGTCGTAAAAGGTCGACCGACTGATGATAGCGCAACGCGAATCACGCGTGCTGATCAACCTATCGCGTAGAACACTGTACTGTACATGCACCTGTACTGCGTGTATGTCGTATGGGCACAATTTGACATTACTGGTATCCACTCGTCATATCTCGTGATTTGAAGCACAATTTGACGATTACCAGTTTTACCACACGTTACCGCGCCACGTCAACTTTGCGGCCATTTTCTGCAAGGCGTTGCGTGGCAGTCTTTACGTGGTTCGTCTACAAAACAGCCGCAAAATGAATGTTTTCCGGCTGATAGGAGATCTTTCCCACTTGCTTGCTATTTTGATTCTTCTCTGGAAAATCTGGAAGACAAGGTCATGTTCGGGTGAGATATATACTTTCTGTTTTTCAGAAGGAGTTTGGTAGCTAGCACAAATCCTCCGTGTCGACGTGTCCACAGTCATTGCTACACGGCGCTCCGTGTGGGCCTGGGACGACCCGGCTATGGCCACGTTGTCACCTTCCCGTGGCCTTCGGCGCTACTGCTGGGACTGCCATGACTGCGGCATATTTTAGCGTAGTACCTGTAATTTATATGCATTTTCAGCTGTATCTTTCTTCTGTTTAAAGTCAGTAGCTTTCCCTTGTTTGATATTTTAGCTTACTTTAATAATGTATTAAGTCCCTAAGCCCAGTGCATTTCGATTTGCTGCGCGCATTAACTGCAAGATGCCGAAGCCCACTGTGCAGTCTGTGGTTGTCTGTGGTTGTACAAACTAGTACTAGGCCTACCAGTCTAATGTTAGTACTTTACTTGGTTACTTGGTGATGGGAAAGGTTCAGAGACAGATTTTTTTCTAGAAATTCTGTCTACACTGCATGCACTACCATGAGGCATGACTGCACATATTATGCTGCATGCAGAGTCTTATCCAAAATCAACAAGTTTTTGTTTTCAGTCGTCATAATCAAATCCTACATTTTGCTGAGTTAGATTTCATTTAATTTTGATTCGTGGCTGTACCATTTTTTTGGCTTTAACCCTAACACTCCTCGATCCTTCACCTGTTGGAGGACTGAGGAGTGTTAGGGTTAAATTCCAAAATTATTCAATTGACAATATCAGACACGTGCAACAATATTTTTTACCAAATAGGCCTCGCATTAGTTTTTGTGTCGGGATATTTCTCAAAACTTTATGCCTAAGCAATGTTCAGGTGAGCTAAACATTGGACAACTTCCCCCAAGTGAAGGTGTATGAAGTTTTTTGGAAACTTTTTTACAAACTACTTTACGATTCAAAGTTCATTTTAAAAATATGATTTCTTGTCCTGTTTACAGGTATTTCAGGCAAGAGCCAGTTTCTCTTTGCTTTGGTCTTCACGACCCGTTACTTGGATCTCTTCACCAATTTCATCTCACCATACAACACTTTTATGAAGATAGTGTACATTGTCTGCTCCTGCGTCACGGTTTACTTCATCTACGTCAAATTCAAGGCCACCTACGACAGCAACCATGACACCTTTCGAGTGGAGTTCTTGGTGGTACCTGTTGGCGGCTTGGCTTTCCTGGTCAACCATGATTTCACTCCCCTCGAGGTAAAGTACCCATGTACATGTAAATCCGTTGTAACCACCCTCCCATCAACCACCACCATTGTAATCTTAAATTGACTGCAAGCTACAATACCAGATTAATTACCGTGCATTTTTTTTACCTGCAGTTAATGTAACGGTCTGACATAAATACACATGTAATTTGCTTGGCTGACTGTGTCCTGTGCTTTGGAAGTCTGTCAACCCATCCTCATCAGAAACTATGTACTGCAGTTAGTATCTGTGGTCTTCATTAACCCTAACCCACTAGGGCCTTTTGCTGGGGCACATCCTCAATCCTCCAAAATCCTCCAGTGGCCTGAGTCCAAGAATTGTATTCATTCTCAATCCTCCGATCTTTGCACTTATTCTCAGAATGAGAGGCGCCCAGCTCCTCGGTCCTTCATAATTCCCCGGTAATTCCTGCCATTATGTTGAGGCACGGTGAATGGCTTTCTCAAGCAGTGCGGTTGATTTCAAAGTAATGCTGAGCTAAATTTATGCATGACTAAGCATAAACAACACAAGGTCCAACCCACGACCCTCACACATGGCATCCTTCACAATCAGCCATACAATTTTGCCACTCATCCTCAATCCTCCAAAATCCTTTAAAACTGTGCAAAGGATTTTGGAGGATTTAGGAGGGTTAGGGCTAACCCTTTATATGAATTCTTACTTGGAACCCTTATGATTCCTCTGCATTTTTCCAACAATCTTTGGCCAACAGTGACGCATTCTTAATACTTACATCTAACTTTCATGGAGCATCAAGCCCCAAGTGAAGTACCTGTGAAAAGGTACTGTCTGCCACACTTCTTCATGACCCCAAAGCCCCTGATAGATTTTGATTGATCTTGGAGGGTTTGTGTTTTGATGCAGATACTGAGGAAATGGACTTGCTTTTGTTTGCCCTGCAGAAAAATTGGAAGCACAGATAATATGCCATCAGTTTCCTGCACGGGGAAGGTGTTGGAAGAATTGGAAAGTTCCTGGCAAAAAATGCCAGGAAATTAGGGTTTAAGATACCAGTTTGTGGAGCATTTCAAGCTATAGCATTTTGTCAAGAGCCTTAACAGTTTTTTAAGTCAAATTTGACTTGAAGGAAAGGATTTGGTGGTCACTTAAACTTACCTTGGTTTTCAGACCATTGGGTCTAAAATTATTTAACAGCAGGCAACTTGAGCAGTCGAGAAAAACATCTCTTCACAGTTGTGTTCTGTTGGATTCAGTGAGATACCTAAATCATTCCTAAATAGGATGAGAATAGTCAGTTGGCCTCTCCTCCAAACTAATATTCCCAAGGCTTACAACACTATAGCAAAGATTTGGCATAATTGGTGCAATACCCTCATTTTGGTTTTCTTTGTCTTGGCTCAGATCCTGTGGACTTTCTCCATCTACCTGGAGTCAGTGGCCATCTTGCCTCAACTCTTCATGATCAGTAAGACAGGTGAGGCCGAGACCATCACCAGCCACTATCTCTTTGCGCTGGGAGCTTACCGGGCGCTCTACATCGTCAACTGGGTCTACCGCTACTACTTTGAGGGTTTCTTTGACCTGATTGCTATCGTGGCTGGCTGCGTCCAGACAATACTCTACTGCGACTTTTTCTATCTATACATCACAAAAGGTAGGCTACTAAACTACTACACGGAGTTGTCCAGTAGTTTGCCAGACTTGTTGTAATTTGTGGTATTTTCTGTCACAAGCAGACACTTCTTGGCAGCAGGTTGAAAACATGTTTTTAAAATTGTTAAATTGTATATCTTGTCCTTTGCAGTGATCCTTTCGTTTTGGAAATGGATTGTTGTGGGTGGAATTATGCCTACTGAAAGATCTTGATGACGTAGAGGAAAACTTTTTTTTGGTCAAATTGCATTTCAAGCTGTGACCAGAATCTCTGATTTTGACAGAGCATGTCCTAGTGTTGTTGAAGCATCCTTTAACCAGCACTGTCATCAGACACTGTCACACAATGCAGCCCTTGACAAATTGTACATGATACACATTAATTGCTGTGGTAATCCTCAACCTACTGGACTTTCCGAACTTTGACATCGCTTCCTTCATTGCTTTCATCTCCAGCTCTGAGTCAGTTCCAAAATTTTACTGAGGGAACCGAATGCAAATTCTTCATACCTGGGCCTCTTAGGCAGAAAAGAAAAATGCTGCATGAAGCAGAAGGCCTCAAATCAGGGAAATGAATTCATAAAAAATGAAGCTGAAAATGAAGACAGAACTGAGATTTGGACTCCCCTCCCCCCAGTAGCGAAGTCAGGGTTGTTTGCTGTGAAAGAATTTTGTGGCCTAACATGATTTCTAAGCTAAGACTGCGGGTACATCATGAATGGCCTGTATTTTGTGGAGTTGCCAAGCATACACATGTTGCTCTGCAGAACACTGAAAAAACTCGGAGAGTGAAGGGGTATTGTTCACCAAGATATCGCTTACTGCATCTTACCTTCTACCGCTCCCCTGCTGCTGCTTAGCAAGTGGATTTGCCTTGCATATTTTCAATTGTATGTGGTTTCAAGTCCTGCTTTAATTGAATACATCCAGGGCTTGTGCTTCAATGCACTCTGACCTTCTGTGTATAAATTTGCACCATTTTGGAGGCTGAAATTGAGAGAGTATTCTTAAATGCAAGATGGCATATGGAACAAATGTTTGAGGCTGTGGTGACATGGAAAGCCCCTCCCTTTGATGCACACCATTCATTCAGTGTCGGTGCCATATCATTGTTTTCAGATGAGCTTGTGCTCAAAACGGAAAAACAAATAGGCTACGAGTTGGACATTTAGCAGCACCATGGAGAGTGCATCAAGGGACATCGGGGGGCTCTGTGTGCCAAAGTAAGGCCCCCTCCCTTGCCAAGCAATCCTCGTAGAGGCTATAGAAACTTGCTAGGAAACGTAACCCTTTACTGATGTCTCACTCACCTGTTGTGTCTGTCATGATCTCCTTCCCTCCTTGGCATGAGGCTGCTGCTTTCTGCTTGCCCCCTCCTCATTCTCAAAAAATAAAAGCCAAAGCCCCAGACCCTTGTTAAAATTTACTTTGCAAACACCACACCATAACTTTTTATCTGTGTCAAGTTTTTTTTCTTTACCATTGTCAACAGTGGAACTCAAGTTTGCTGCTCCTTTATGACATCAGCATGGAAAGATCATTTAAGTTGGTTTGGGATTGGATTCAATTTTCTTCCCAAGTCACTTTTGCTTTGCTTGTGTAAATTCAGTGCATGGCTCAGCACAATATTCCCTAAGTAGAGCCACTGATTTTCTGCGATCGCGGAAAACGGACGAAATTTGTGGAATCAACACTTTGAAACGGAATCCACTGCTTGAAAAGGAACTTGCAAAATTTCCCTCTAAGAATGGCCTAAAAAGTAAAGAAAACTTTCTGCAAAGTACTAAAAAATAAATGCCTACTGAAGCCTTTTCAAATGCTTGCTTTTAATGAATGAATTATGCTGAAAACATGCCAAATTGCACCCAATCCACTACATATATGATTGAGCTGTCATTGCCCCGCGCCGGTGCCCTGCAAGCGGGTGTGAGCCCCATGCGTGCAGCGGCAGCCGGCACACAGCGCAGCGGTACAGTACATTGGCCGTTCACGCACGCATTCGTATTAGCAATGAAATCAAGGCGCAAACAAGTTCTTATTCACACATTATGACGATTGTACACGTAGGGAAATTAGTCTGTGAATTCGCATGGACGCCTTGAGACAAGGCTAGTACCGCATGGCAAAGCTTTGTGTACCATAGCTGAATGGACCCTCAGAAGTGTTCAATAAAGAGTGAAGTTTTCAGTCACAAACATACATTTTAAGGCTCAGATTTAATGTTAACTTTCTGAATTTTGTCCCACGACCACCAAATGAAATGGCTGGTCGATGTCCAACATTAACATATTGTGATCAACGACTGTTACATGCAAGACCTCTGTGACTTCACTGTACATGTACATGTATGTAATCTGATTTCATACACGAGGAGTGGCACATGAATTGTCCGTTGGTTAATCCTAGCAAGATTTTGGCGATCACGCGCCGGTGGGAAATCAAGGGATGGGGTGTGCAGTATTTATTGTCTGGATTCGTTTTTCAAGTTTCACGACAAAAGTTATAAGAAAAGTTGGAAACATTGCAGAGTATTTCCAAACAGTATTGTTATTTTTGTTTCTTTTTATTCTGTTTTTTTGAGGGGGCGATGTGGTTGGGCAAATGGTTTCCATGCATAGTTTAAAACTTGCTCTCCTATTTCATGCTTATGAGTATAAAATGGAATTTGAATTTCTGAAGCGGAATTCGGGATTTGGCGAAATGGAAAATATGCATTTTTGAAAAGGAAAATCATTGGCTCTACCTATTAGGAAAGAAATTGTATGACAGAAAGTTGCGTTAAAGTGTATTTCACATATCCAAAATATTTGATGATCGAATATTTGAATATTCATATGCAAAATTCATGAAAAGGAAGAATTTTCTTTTGTTCAAATGAGAAAAAAATGCACAGTGGTGGCTTGTTTTAAGCAGATTCAAATGAAAAGCAACAGATTAATATACCAAAGTGAAAAAGTGAATTATTCATTAAAAAATTCAAAAGGAATAAAAATTTCAACTGGGGCAAGAAGTATTATTTGTCTGTTAAATCTTGCTAAATCATGGTTGGAGAAGTGAGAAGCTATCATAATGATTATTAATGTACAATTGTGTGCATTTGTGTGCAACTGATTTCGTATGCAGTTTGTTCATCAACAATATGCCAGTCGGTAAAACCGAATATTTGGATATTCAATCGAATTGAAGTTCAAATATTTGAATAGTGAGTTACCTGAATTGACTCGGCTCCAATTTCACACATACGGAACATTAAAAAGGACATGTTCATGTACTGTGCAACGGATCAGTGCACAAACACTACCCACTCTGATTCTTCAGTTTTCTGCGTAGTGGTTGATTTTTGGAGGGTCCAGAAAGGTTCCCTCACAAAATTTCATGTGAAGTTATGGTTAATGACAGATTCTGTCACACACTTCTGCTGAAGTACCTTACACAGGGATGCTGCATGTTTGTGCTCATTCAGTCGAAAGTTGGTCACTGGCTCTCAGCACCTTTCTTATATATGCACTCACATGCCTTGTGCACCCTTTTGTCAGTTCTATGACTCCCAGTTCCTGTATGGATTTTCATTGATTACATTTTACTACATGCATGCTCGTGGCAAGTGCATGCAACCTGCAAGTTGCCCCAAGTGTAGACCCTTGGCAGGACAAGAGTTGGTGTCTGTATCTGTATTCCCAATGATGGGATGACAACACCAGCTCTTACAGCTGTGGCTGTCAAGCTCTATGCAATGGTCATTTTAAATTCAGTGAGTGGAGTGCTCTGGTTATAGACCACTCTCTTTTTTTGGGGGTAACTTGTAAGGGCGGCCAGAGTTTGCAGAAATGTCGCCCATTGGTTGGTTTTCGATTTCCCCTCAGATTTGTTCGAAATGGACATCTGTCCTAGTGAGATTAAACACCGTTGTATATAACATGTATTATTATCTGTAGTTCTGATACGGGGGGGGGTAGCTGCGTGGGATTTTTAACACCGTGTATTATTGTTTTACTTTTGTACCAATGGCCAGCCATAGTTTTAGCAGCTACATGTACTTGACTGCAAAGTCAAAAGAACCTACCCTATGACATGCTTTTGTGACTTGGCAATACTTGGCATTCAGCCTCAAACTAACCTTTTCTTTTTGTAAGTGATCATAATTGCACTGACATTGGACCCACGGTTAACCTGCAGCCTTGTCAGAATGAATGTATTCAAAAGTTTATCGCCCACTTGCCTGACTCACGTGACCCATCTTGCAAAGGGTAGTTTTATTGAATGCATTTTAGGTGTCTTCTTTGAGTGCATTACAAAGTGACAATTGACTCTTTGAAATAATAGAATTGTATCACTTGGCCCAATTTCGTGGCTCTGCCATCAGCTTGCCAAAATTCTGTACTTATGATTAGCATGTTAATATTGTGGCCAAGTTAAGGGCAGAATAGGCAAAAACTCAAGTTGGACTGTTTTTGCAGGTCACTCTCGAGATGGTTAATTTTTTTTTTAACTCTAGAGGGCTCAGAACAGAAATACATTGTGAACAAGTATTGGATCTGATCATTGAAGAATTTTCTATGAAGTACGTAACCAAATGAATTTACAGTGTGCGGAATTCGGTTGGTTACAATATCATGAGTTAGTGAGGAAATTTGAGTTGTGCATGGGTAAATCCTGTATTGACTAAAGGATTTTGTGCTTACTCAGTATAACATGAAGGTTTTATGCTAACGTTGTAAGTTGACAATGTTGATCATAAGCACAGAATTGTGTGGGCAGCCATACCATGAAATGTATACCCAGCAAGAAATGAGACCGAGGGGTACCCCCCCAACATGTCCAATCCCTATACACATTCCAGACTATTGTAACTTAA